ACAGCCATGGAAAATATATAAATGAGCTTGTCCGCATGCCAATAAAACTTTATTTATATACACTGAAAATTTTAATTCATATAATGTTTATGTGTCACACAAAACTATCCTTTGGATTTTTCTAAATATTTAAAAAATGTAAAAACCATTTTTTCTTGCAAGCTGTTTACAAAAAGTACGCTATACAAAAAGGGCAAACTTGGCTTGTGAGTTAATTTGCCAATACTCACAAAAATATTAGCAAGATATTGCATGTTTATAGAGTATTTAAAAGCAAAAGCTTGCACCAGTATACTTCTGATTCTTCCTTTTCATACTCGATGCTATTGCTGCCATAGCTTTTGCTTTTATATAGGATCTCAGATATTTTTTATTGTTTTCTTTGGAAGTTTTTTAGTTTTAAGGTTTTACATTTAGCCAAAGATCTTTTTTGAGTTAATTTTATATTCAGAGTCAAGTGTGGACAAGAGTCGTTATTTTTTAAACATGAATATCAAATTGTTCTTGTACTATTTGTAAATAAAATGCATTCTTTCAGGCCAGGGATTTAGCTCAGTGGTTCCACTGCCTTCCTCTCAAGCACAAGGACCCAAATTTGATCCCCAGTACCAAAAATAAATAAAATAAATAAAATGCATTCTTTCTGCATAGCTTTGTGATCTTACTCTTATAGAAAAATCAACAGATTGCATTATGTGGGGGCTATTTGGTCTTGCATTGCTCTATATGCCTGTACTTTCTCTAAAACCACAAAGACACCTCTTTCAGAATATTTTTTAGTCATTGACCAAGGGATCAAAATATTCATCTTTATACAGAATCCACTTTGCTGTAATATGTTGCTTCACATGCTTAGTAATTTGAGCTTTATAAAAATAAAAATGTACTCTTTAAAAACTACGACCAGGCTGAATATTTGTTAGTCAAAAGGCTGCTAGGGACCTTGTATCTATTTATAATGAACTCTCAGAATTCAATAGTATGAGATAAACCAGCATTTCTTTTTAAATAGGCAAAGTATGGTAAATGGACGGCAGACCAGCACCTAAAAGATGCTGAACATGATTTATCTTTGGAGGCATCCAAATGAGATATCACTACAAAATATAATTTAAAATTAGGTCGATTATGGCAAGCACTGAAAAGACTAGGGAGCAGCGAAAGCTGTTCCGCCACGCTGGGTGGTGGGAATGTGAAATGGGACAACCATTTTGCAAAAGGGCTAAAAAGTTAATATTCCTCTACAATGCTAAATTCTAAGGAGGACGAAGAAGATCTGAAATTCTCGCTTATGCTGGAGAAAATGAAAACTTTTTACAGTCCCCCACAGTTGGGCAGCTTCTTACAAAGTTCAAGATACACTTATCATATGACCTAGGAATCTCACTCTAAAATTTTTACAAACTTAAACTGGTAGTGTAAGCTCACACAAAAATCTGTATGTGGATATTTGTGGATGTGGTATTTGTAATTGTGCAAAAGTTTAAAGAAACCATTGACTTGGGTCAATCGTATCCATACAACTGAATTTCACACAACGATTAAAAGGAATAAACTACAGATAAACACAGATACATAGATAAATGTTAACTGCTATTAGGATAGACTTCTATATCTTGATTCATGTGGTGGTAACATAACTACATGACTTTGTAAAATCTCACAAAAGCTTCCATTAATTTTAATGAATTTCCTCGTGCACATTTTATGCTATAATAAACAATATAGATGTTCAAGTTGAAACGATTGTAATATTTTTAATACTCATTTCATTTTCTTTTTAAAAATTTCTCTGAAATAATTACCCTTTGCTTATTATAAATAAAATGAAACTTTTAAAAAGATCCACACAGACTAATTCAGGGATTTTAAAATTGCATATTTCTTAACTACGAGGCTAATAATTCTAGTGTTTGTGAATGTGGTGATGGTACAATGATTAAAAAACAATGTCTTCACAAGTATTAGTTGGGACCTCTGTATGAATTTACATTTATGTTCATATTTTTTGACCTAAAATTCAGTTTTAGGAATTTAACCTAGATGCCTTGGTTCATGGGTATTAATTCAATGAATTTTCTTTTTTCTTTGCCATGGTGAATACAGAATCCAGAACCTCACTTATGCTAGTGCTGTGCCCTTGAGCTATTGTGGCTCCAGCTTCTGAACAGTTTTTTAAAGTTATTACTAATTTTGAAATATTTAGAAATAATGTAACACCCCTGAAGTGATTGCTATTAAAATTATAGTTAAGCAAATCTTAAGATTTTCATTAAAATAGTTTAGAAGTATAAGACAGATTTACATGTTCTGATAAAGGTTTCTAATATATACTTCGAAATAAGTATAAATTATAAAAAAGTAATTGCAGTGACTATTTTAATTGCTTAGAGGGTAGCTTATTGTTAGTGTTTTATCTAATAACGGAATTAACATAATGTTATGGCTGGCATTCATGGTACTGCCTTATTTTAACAACTGAAGAAACTGAGTGAAGCATTAGTGTGTGCTTTTTCTAATTAATGTATTGTTCCAATGCTCCAGAGATCTTCACAAAGCTTTCTCTGCCTCTTTCTTACCCCAAAACCATTTGTTACAAACAACTCTGGCAGATGTCTATGATGGCCAGTGAGCACCTCTGTGAAGCGTCCTGACATTCTCTTTGGTTCAGCATTTCACATCTAGCGGCAGCTCTACTTCTCAATTACGTGATATTTATACCAAGGAGGAGCTCGGATATGGCTCATGGCACAAGAATATAAAAGAGAGAGAGTTGTGAAATTAAAATGATGAAGGTATTTAAGTGAAAATAAAGTTGGATACATTTTTTGAGTAGAGAGTCATTTCTTGCTAATACTATTTAGAGAAATGGTGTCCTTACAAGTTCAAATGAGACTCCTCATGATAAGGAAAGCAAAAACAACGGACAAATCACTTCAGTGACTCATCCTCTAACTCTTAATCAACATCATTTCCATTCTGAAGAAAGTAAATTATAGAAAGTTTACCCAAAGTAATATGAAGTATTAGCTTAGTTCATAATACAAACCCCATGTGTGTATTAAAATTGAAATTAAAGAAAGTTTCAGCAGTCTGACATTTCTGAAGGAGCTCTGTTCCTAGCTAGCCAAGTAACACCGTGATTTTGATCATTGCAGTGAATTTCTGCAGTTCGGTTTTTTTCATGCTGGATGAGGAAACAATTTGATCACTTCTATACTTCCTTCAGAATGTTGTTCCCCAAATGACAAAATAATCTTTAAAAAGAAATATTTTATGTAATGCATTTACATAATATGTAATGTATTTACACATACAGTTAGATATGTATGTAACTGAATGTGTAAATAAATACACATAGCCTGGGATTTAGCTCAGTGGTTCCACCATCTGCCTCTCGAGTGCGAGGTCCTGAGTTCGATTTCCAGTACCCCCCCAAAAAATACACATATGTACATATTATTAGAATAGTATCAGATGAAGACAGAAAAGTGACTAGTTAGCCTCTAAGCCTATGATAATAAAGAGACATAAAATTAAGAAGGAGGTAATACATTGTTATTCCTTGGCTCTTTGGCCCAGAGCATAATGGTAGAGCTTTAGAGCCCTTTTTCTTAGATAAGTGTGGCATAAATACTGTTGGTTCTTTACAGAAGTGAACTTCCCTTTCCTGTTGCTCAGAATGTTGATGTCAACATTACACTCTCCACTCTTAAAACATATACTTCAAATTGGAACAGAGTGGATTCTGAATCCAGCTCAGATTTACCATCTAAGTGTCACCAAGAAAGTGATTCTACCTTTACTTTGCCCCCCTCAGAGAGGAAAAAGGAAAAAACAACTATCAAACTTTGAGAACTAATATAAAAGCTGAGTGACACAGGTAACTGCAAAATACCAGCTACCAAATATGTGATCAGTAAATACAGCAGCAAATTTTAACTCTACATATCTGCTTTAGCTACTGAAAATTAACCTCAGGATTGGCCAAAAGCAGATGTGCCTGGAACAGATTCCCGATGGATCCAAACAAGTGCAATGTGAGAACCAGAGATGAAGTTAGGAGAGCTACGGAGTATACGATTGGAAAAAGATTTTTCATATCATACAGGGCCAGACTTTCTCCTGACATATTAGTGCTTCCATACAAATCATCAGAAGGCATTCATTTGGCAAAGTACCCACTATGTTCCCTCTAGGACAAAAATTCTGCAAAGATATTCTTGTCCTGACCTAATGAACCCTCCCAGGACACAGGTTAGACTGAAGCTCGGACTGGATTGCAGCCCCCACCTGCCCCTTAACCTGGCTTCTGCAAACAGCACACAGCTTGTTCTTTCCTCACCAGGTCTAGACCGTAAAGATCATACCCAAAGATTAAATTGAATTACTGCTTTTAGCCTGGGTGCTCCAGGCCACAAACTGTCTGCTTAAAAGCAAGTGAAATATAGATTAAAGAGATGCCTGGAGAAGCACAGCTTTAGAAAAAATGTTTATTTTTTTCAAATTATGAAATCTATAAATGCAAAGTATGGAATTTAGAAAATACAAAACATGCATGAGGAATAAGGTAAAAAGCATCTCTAAAAATCCATTTCTAAGAATTGTTTTTGCTTGTTGTTTTGTTTCTGCCCATATTTTTGTTTTTGCTTTTTGTTTATTTGTTTTTTGTGGTGGTAGTGTGGACTGAACCCAGGGTCTTTGCACTGAACTAAATTCTTGGTCTCATTTTGTTAAAAGACATTTTGAGACAGGATCTTGCTAAGTCTTTAAGTTGCCCAGGCTGGGCTTGAAATTTCAATCCTTGTACTTCAGCTTCCCAGAATCCTAGGATTTTAGGCATGCAGTACCATGTCCAGCTAAGAGCTGGTTTTTATATGGTATACATATATATACAAACACAAATATATATATATATATATTTTTTTTTCTTCTTCTTCCTATACTTGGATCTCATTTCCATCAACATTATCAACACCATCCAGATTTTTAGGATTTCAGTGAAGTTTCCACTTTTGAATCAGATTCAAGTGGCTGTGCCTTGCTTTGCTTGGCTTTGGTGACCTTAAAGAAGAGAGTGATAAAGATAGATCAGTTGGGATGCAGATGCCCACACTTTTCTCCTTTACTCAAAATCAGGGGTTGTGGAAGAAATTTTACAAAATAACACTAGGACTTACTTTACACAACCATGGGCTGTATCTCTTTTCTTGCCTTCCTCCCTGTTTCCTTTCATGAACCCCTTGTCCTTGGAGGCACCCTCCCCCTTAGGACCATGAAATGTGCTGATTACTCCTCATCAGTAGAAGTGCAGGTGGAAGAAGAGGACAGAATGGAGGAGGAGAGGGGCTGGTGTTGCCAAAATGGTAAGAGTTCTCAGTGGGCAGGACAGTGGGTGGGAGATGCGCATGAACTTTCTCCTGTATCTGCTGTAAGGGAAGATTTGGAAGATTTTATTGAGTGACCTGGAAACCTGAGAAATCTAAGAGCAAGTGCAGTTCTGTGAGCCTGAATAAGTCAGCAGCTACATTTGATCTGTATTTGATTTGCTTTCCAAACTTGGCTGTCCTTCATGTCCTATGAACCTACATGAATATTTATATTAGTATGACAAAGTGTAGACTTTGTCATGTAGTATTTCTCTAAAGGCAGGTACCCTTGTATTCCCATTTTCTTAGAGCATCCTTGCTAACTTTGGTTTGTTAAGCGCTCTGCTGAGGCAGATAATATTTCCCATATTTTATAGATGATGACCCTAAGATGCCTAGTATTTAAATCCTCAGTCAATTGGAAAAACACAAAGCTAGATTATAAATATGTGAGTTTCCACTTAGGAGAATGATGTTCCCCTGAGATGCTTACCTTGAGGTGACTATGAAGTACAGATCTCAGCTGCAGACTCCCCTCACTTGTGGCTACTTCAAAGCAAGTGAGCTTCAGTCTATCCCCTTCCTCACAGGAGACATTGGCCAGTCGTCCATATACCACGACTTCCATCATTCCCGTACTGTCTTTTACATTATAAAAAATGCATCCTTGCCTCACCCTTTTCTGCAAAAGAATACTAACATGTAACTGCTGAGAAATGTATCAGGAAGTTTATGAGAAATACACAGTGTTAGTAAAAATGTTGCTTTCCAATAGGTAAATAGAACTGTAGATTCAAAATCACGTATACCAAACTGCTTAAGATAATTTAGTTGGCAAATCCCCTCTCTTGAAACCTTTCTGAAACTTCTCCTCTCCTTTTTTTTTTTAATTTGGTATGGGGCTCAAACTCAAGACCTTGCATGTGCGAGGCAGGCGGTGGCACCACTGAGCTAAATCCCTGGCCCTTCTCCTTTAAAGTCTATCTGCTCCATTTTTCTGGAAGAATTGATTATTTTTCTAATTTGTACAGCTTTCGCATCATCATACCTGAGACATCTTAAGGAGTCTAGATGGAGAAAACCTGAGTAGTTTAATAGGTTTCTTGCTGTCTCCACAAGAACAGAGAAAGAAGACCATTTGTGATTCACCCGGGCCTGAGAAAGACTACAGCAAATTTTCATTAAGTGGATCAGGTTATCTCAATTATAATTTATTATCTTCTCCATTTATTCACTCTTCTTCAATCTGTTCAAATACTAAATCCAGATCACCTCTCCCATTGTTTTGGTTTGTATCTCACTTACTTTATTAATAAAGTACATACATACAATCATTTAAATAGAATGTATAGAAAACAACACAGGTAAAAGTAAAAAACCACCCTCCAAGACAATATAACTGTGTGTGAACTAATACTTTGAACAAACAGTTAAGTGTACCATTTATGAGAAGAATTGGGACAGAAAGACACACCCTAAATCTAAGAATTCTCCAGACTTTGCAATTGAGGGCACCTATTTATAAACTGAGAGACATAGTACATTTCTCTAGTATTGTCATGGCGAATCTTTTAGTCTTCTCAAACTGAATCCCCAAACCCACTTATTTATCACAAAGTACCAACACTGCGATTAAACCAGAATGCTGGCTTCAGGGGTGATGCTGGGGTGGCTTGGCTCACGTGCTGGCAGAAGGCTCTGTGCACCCACTGAGGTATCTGCCGTAGGTTGGCCACCGCTACTCTAGTCTCTCAACTTCTAAGTTTCTGTTATTATTTAGCACAGAAATCAGTTGCTCAACAATTTCTTGATGAAAAGTAACGAAGGAGAAGAAGTAAGAGCAACTTAGAGTACAGATGATCAGAAACCTAGCTTACTGTTGGACACAGTTGCATTCTGGGACACAGTAATCATTGGACTTTTATTTTTAATCATTGTTACAACCAGAATCCAGCATTGGGAGGCAACTCCTTATTCACAATTCATTTGTTACTGATACAGATAGTGCTATGTCCCATCCTCTACCAGGCTGGCTATGAACTAAAATACTAAGGTTTCTTGGTAAATCTCATTCTAAAGAATTTCCATGGTGATACCTTGAGAAGAGAAATGTTAAGAGCCTAACTATCTCACATTCTGAAATGAGAAGACTCTACTTACCTGTCCCTGATAAGGGAGCCTGGCTTGTTTCCTGTGTTCAGTAAATCAAACTATAATTTCCAGGTTCAATTGTGGAAAAAAATTTGACAAATTAATGCCTTGACTTACCTTACACACCGTAAATATTTGGTTCACATATGCTCCTTTATTTTGTGACCAAAGCTGACGGATTTTAGGAGTTGCTTTGGCGTGGTGAATCAGAGTAGATAAGATTTCCATCTTTCGGTCAGCACTCACATTGGACACACTTGAAGTTTTGTATATCTCTAGGAACCCATCTCGACCAAAATAATTTGAAATGGCAATGATATTTCTTGGGGGAACTTGTCCTTAAATGTGACGTCAAAAACCTTCACTCGGAAGAATTCATCCTTGGTAGCCACCGTGGCGTGAATAATCTTTTGCTCCTCTTCTCTGACAGCGTAAATGGTCCTGTCACTTTCAACACCATCACTTCTTTGGGGCCTTTCTGATAACCGTATTCTTTGGAAGGTTCCGTGGGTACAGACTTCAACTTTGGCTTCTACTTAGATGATACACAATAAAACACAGGCACAATTAAGACAGAGAGGCCACAGTCGCTATCTAGTGACAGCCACCTGAGGCTCAACATGCATGCTCAAGGGGCATCTTAGTCAGGGGCACCTGGGAAAAATCTAGACACCAATGTCTGGCGTGCTATACTTAGCTAATACAGGAAATGAAACAATGTCAGTAACATCAACTGGTACTAATCCTAACCAGCACGGACATTTTAAAAGACTTAAATCACAAAGGCCTTTCCAACAAATCAGTGCTGTTCTGTATGAGGGTCAGTCAAGCAGTCACTGGAAGAACTCCAAGAACTTTCTGAATCTGAACAGGGCCAGGCCAGAGGAGAATCACTGCAATGGAAGTTAGGCACGAAGGGACTTCGCTTTGAACGTCTGCATTTGCAGGACTCTGCCCTACTTCTGAGTTTCAGGAGAGCATTTTGAGTTGGACGAAAGGCTGACAATCTGCAAGAGGAAGTTGGGAGGCAACCATGGCAGTCCCAAGAGGTAGTGAGTGGAGGCAAGCTAGCTGCTTTCACAGACCAGCAATGTTCAATGTGATTAAAGCTGAAAACGTATACAGAGCATGCCCAGGGAGTGATGGAGTTTAAATCTGACTTCTCCTCCATGTGGTCAAAGGCTACCTAACACCAGGAAAGTGCGTTTCTTATAAACTTTAAGCAGCAGCCGGGATACTGTTACTGTTACTGAGAAAAAGTGCACAGGACTTAGGGAAGAAGTTTTAACTTTGTCTGTAAATGATAAAAGAGGATGCACAGTACATATATTCTTATTGCGCTTGTTGAAGGTATAGGGTTGCTGGAAATAACCTGAGTCAAATAACACAGTTATTTTTATAATATATAGGATAACAATGCCATTTTCACATACAATGAAATAATTTTAGTCTCTATTGGTTGGTTGAATGTCAATTCAAGATATTTTAAGTGATTTTTAAGAAGCCTGATTAAAAATGTATGTAATATTATCCAATCTGGAAGAAAATGATACTCTTTGGATATAAATAATTAAGAGAAAATAAAAAACACTGAATACTAAAAAATGTGGCATTTGATGGTAGAGATTCAAATAGTTAAAATTAATTAATATTTCTGTCTATGAATCTACTTATCTTAACTTTTCTAAGATGTTGTTATTTGTGAAACCAAAAATGCAAGGGGAATATTGAGTGATACATTTCATATCCTATTTTACCCTAAAATATCACTTTCATGGGGTACTGAAGCAAAAATGCAAGCTAACACTTAAAAGTAAAGTTAAACAAAGGAATGTCTAATAGTGCACTTCATAAAGTAGGAATCATTAGGTGCTCACAGAGTCATAGATTAACCCACGAAGTGCTGGGAGTGAAACACTGTGGGTCACGATGGCCGGGCCTAACTCGCCTCCTCCTGCAGAGGGCGTGGTGGAGCAAGGCCTGGGAGAAGAGGACTGTCTTCCTCCCCACCCCTTCGCCAGAGAAGCTTCAAGTGTTATCTCCCGCAGACCCTTGCTATTCTCCCCGTTCCAATCAAGCATCCCCTTTCACTTTATATACACTATTTTGTCTCATCAGAACAAAGAGTTTCCACCTGGCCTCAGCTATGTAAACTTTACTGTCCTCTTTGTCTTTTTTGTCTTGTTATTTAAATTTCTTAATCACTCACCATCATTTCTCACTCCATAGACCCTTCAGCCACACAGGCCATGGTAATGTAGTAGGACATAATAAGAGAATTCAAATTTATAATAGTATCTCAAAATATGCACTTAATGAAAAGGATTCGATTAAGTCAAGCTCATGGAGCTCAAGGATTATTGAAAAACTCTCCTAAAGTTCTATTAATCCCTGGCAAAATATTATGGGAACAAAAAATTACCATGGGTAAGGGACTGCTGGTTGTTGTTCCTGGAAGCATCTGTGGAGTCTGGAGACTGCTGGATGTTGCCAGAGGTTTCTGTGGAGTCTGGAGACTGTTGGATGGTACTAGAGATGCCTGTGGAATCTGGAGACACCTGGACAGTGTCTTTGGACACCACCAAAGGACCTAAACACTGCTGGGTGGTGTTGGAGGAGTTTCAGGAGTCTGGAGACTGCTAGGTAGTGTTGTTAGAGGTGTCTGGAGCTTACTAGATGCAGTTGGAGGCATCCACAGAGGCTGGAGATTGCTGGGTGGTCTAGGAGGCCTCTGACCAGTCTGAAGACTGCTGGATGCTGCTGCTGGAAGCATCATAACAGTGTGGAGCCTGTTGGATGGTTCTGGAGCCATCTTAGGCATCTGTTGACTGCTGGATGGTGTTTCTGGAGCCATCTGAGGAGTCTGCAGAGTAGTGGGTGGTGTTGATGGCATCTGAGGAGTAAGGAGACTGCTCAGTGATGTGACTGAAAGTTTCTGAAGAGTCTGGGGATAGCTCTCAGATTGAGATGTGCTAGTTGTTGACAGATCAATCTCTTATATCTTAATATCTTTGGTGGCTCCACAGGAACTAAAAAATCTTACTTAAAGCACTACCTGTAGCTACATTTTCTAAGTAAGATTGGGGAGTATTTCTGAAATCATATACCTTGACTGCCTTCCATTACGCTGGTGAAAATCCATTAAATATTCATGACATTTGGCCAGCACGCCACAGCATTTCCCAGTTCCAGCATTCAGTACTCTAATTTAGTAAGTGCTAACTATTGAAGTGCCTCAGCTGGAGATCTCCAACCACTCCAAGGCACCAAAGCATAACTCTCTGTCTATTCAATATCATTTCAAAATGAATTGCCAGGATTTTTACATTTGTACACCTACCTTGGATTCAATCGATTGCATTAAATAAGCTTTAAAGTTCACTATAGCTGGACTTAAATCCTGGATCTAATATCCACTACATGTGAAAGATTCTTAACCTCTATGCACCCTGGTTTCTCATATGTAAAATGGGAATGTCATTAGCATTTTCATATGGTTCTATAAAGAACAAATGAGGTGGGCCAGGGAATTAGCTCACTGCCTGCCTCGCAAACTCAAGGTCCTGAGTTTGATTCCCCCATATCCCCCCAAAAAAGGATAACTGAGGTAATAGATATACAGCACACAGGTTTTTAGAGTCCAAGGCTAAATAAATGCTTATTAAACAGAAATATTTCTGCCATTATTTTTCTAATTAGGGATTTTTATTTCTGCTCCAATGAAAATGTATTTTATATTTATGATTCTATTGATAGAAATCTCATATGGAGATGACAAGGAAACATACTATAAAAGAAGCCTTTCTAGTTCTGCCATATGTAACAATGAAGTTTCACCAACAGGATCATATTGAGCTATATCTTTTAAAAACAAGTTAAATATTAAGCTGACATCACAGTAGCAGGGCTCAGATACTAAAATTATAACCTTTGCTGAGTCATTGAAAAGTGTTAATTTTTTTTTTTTTTTTTTTTTTTTTTTTTTTTTTTTTTTTTTTTTTTTTTTTTTTTTTTTTTTTTTTTTTTTTTTTTTTTTTTGTACCAGGGATCAAACTTGGATCCTTGCACTTTTGAGGCAGGTGCTGGAACCACTGAGCTAAATCCCTGGGCCCAAAAGTGTTAGTTTTTTTTCCCCCTGAGTAAATCCTCTACCATCCTATCCTATTCAGGAATCCTGCTTTCTCCTGTGCTGCTTGCTGAGGGACAAATACATGAAGAAATGAAAGGCAGCAGAACTGGAATGTGGAGAAATGAACACACTCATGTGCATTTCTACTCATCTAGTCACTTTCTCCCTCTCTTCCTACCCAACATAAGAGCAGAAAGTAATTTTATAAACACGTAACTTTGTAATTTGAAAAAAGAGTTAAAAAATCTATGGATGTCTCAAAATATACCTGAAATAAAACCAATAAATTGTATAGAATGTGGGTTACATGAGCAGCTCTTTCACGTTTATGATGATCCTTGATGTTATGTTAAATAGGAAAAGAGAAAGGGTGAAGGAGGCTAAGACCTGGGTGCAGGAGCTGCTGGAAGAAGTGGGTGGCGGCTTGTGTGGGAGCTGCAGACTTGTGCTGGCAGTAGAAGTTTCTGGAAGCAAGCTCATTTTTTGGTCTACCATGCTTTTTTTTCAAGTCGCCCATTTTCTTGATTGGCTTTTTCTTTTTCTGAAGGAAAAGCAGATTTATTGCTAGATAATGATTTTCAACTTTAGCATATGTGCTGCTGATGCAAGCACTGGATAATGATTTTAATAACTGCACACAGAACATTGTTTCTTTTATACAGAATCTTTCTGATTTTTCTTGAACACTAGGGTATGTTTTTATACCCTTATTACCTACCCTTCTCCCAAACCATCCAGGATTACAAACCTCACTCTTCAAATATTGAAAGCCCACATCAAGTTTCAGTGGCTTGGGATAGAAGCAATCAGGTTTTATAGTTGGTGTAGCCTGACTTAAGACAATTGATCAAATACAAATTTTATGGTGAACTAACCCTTTGAGGCTATCTTACAAAAATATCAGTTATAGTTATGAGCTTATTTTTTAAAAGTAAGACTTTCTCATCAAGAAAATTGGTTCATGATATCTATTCTTAAAGATAAAACCCCCCCAAAACCCAAAAAAACAAAAGCCAAAAACCAATCAAAACAAAACAAAAACCTTCAATTTCCTCAATCTTTTGGGAGAGATTATTTTAGGAGATATGGATTCTTGGGACTAACAATAATAATAACAATAACAGGTAAACCAAACCAAAGAATGAAAATCTCTTTTTATAGGAAGTGAGCACGCGTGAGCTGGGGTGAGGGTGTAGCTTGGGCCAAAGCAAAGCTTGATTTTTGAGTTCGAAACTACATTTAAGAGTGGAGATTTAACTTTTGCTCTGACCTGCAGCTCCTATGGTCTCAGGCAACCTGTCTCTTGCTCATTCATCCTAGATGTAGCCTTCGTACTCGCAGGTTGCAAGTATTCTACAAATCATATTAGTGTAGAACAAAAAGGACATAACAAAAACAGATTTTGATAGGGTTGATGGATACAGGTATGAATTCCTTTTTCTATCATTGTCTTCTTTTCCCTTGGGACAGCATACCTATAATCCATCATGGTTTTCTTTTTTCTAAAAGAATTTTTTCTTTTTTCTCTTGATATTTTATTTTATTTTATTTTATTTTATTTTATTTTATTTTATTTTATTTTTTGGTGCTAGGGACTGAATCAAAGGCCTCATCTATACTAAGCACAGATACACACATTTCCCCACTAGCCAACCCTCCTAGCCCTTGGTAACTCTTTTCTTTTTCAGTACTGGGGGTCCAATGCATGGTGCCACATGTTTGCAAACCACACATGCTACCACTGAGCTATACCCCTGCCCCATGATGATTTTTAATGTTAGATGAAGCATAGTACCTTTAACACTGAGAACATCTACTTTTTATTAATGGATTCTAATTATACTAAAATTGCATTCTAGGAAACAGGATGCCACAGTCTACCCCCTGAAGAGACAGTCAGAGGCAGGTGTATACAGCTGCCCCCTACAGAACAGAAGCACTTTATGCACGCCATGTCTTTACCCCTCTCTGTGGTGAAGGAAGAACATAAGAACTGTGTTTAGAAAGTCCACCTTTGGATTTAGTCTCTTTTAATAAGCTTTGGCAAGCCATTTTCCTAAGCTGACCACTATTTTATTACATAACTAGACAAAGCATAATGGTTTTGTATTTCTATCATAGGGAATTATGCTATACAAGTTACAGAGTGCCGTGGTCCTGAAACCAAACGAAGAAACAACAACTGTACATTTTCTGACTCTGAATCTCATTTTCACTAAACAAATTACTAAATGTTCACCAAAAGGTAGGATGTGAGAGAGCCCTCAAAGCAGCTTTTCCCATGCGAGCTTAGCCACCCAACCATTGACAGAGGCACATCCTTTGATTCTGGTACTACAGATTCTTCATCTGTGGTGAGAACAGATTGAACAGCACTGGATTCATCATGCTTGCTTCTTTCCACTGCATTTTTTCTTTTTCCTTTGTGTTTAATCTTAAGCACTACTGTAAAAGAAAATACAATAAACTGAGGGGACGTGGTCTAAAATGGCCATAGTGGGGTCGCGATACTATTTCTTCCCAGTTTCTGTTTCTGTGTCTAGGTTGGTTCCTCTATTGCATTAGCCCAGGCTGATGCAGGTAATCTAGGCACAAGTACTGCCTCAGGACTTTCTTTCGTTTTCCAGGTGCAATCGGCACAGCCTTCCGACCCTGTGGATTTCATGTACCTTCCCCTAATTTCTCTTTTAAAGAATCTAAAGTTTTCATGATGCTAACTACAGGTCGTCTTCTGTAGAAGACCTTACCAAATTTGAGAAACTAAATAAGAAATTATGATCTCATTTGTGCCGTGACAAAGTGGTGATACTGGGCTTGGATATCATTCATA